GTGCCCCTCGCTGGCAATAAACAGTCCTCTAATGTTGATGATCCAGTCTGGCCAATTCCTTTTCCATTCTCCTCCATTTTCCTAACAAGCCCTGAGCTTTTTTGCTTGAGGCTAGCACTTTACCACTTTGAGCCACAGTGCCACTTCCAATAATCAGTTTTTAAAGTCCTGTTTACAAACCCTCAATTACTGACAGCCAACATAGTTTGCACCCAATCTGTTCACACAGACCCAGTCTATATGAAAATAAAGAACTATATGCTCAGAGCTTGGATGCTATTCATTAGATTTTTCACTCAAGGTGGAGTTCTACCACTTGAGCCACAGCTCGTCTTCTGACTTTTTTGGTAGTTAATTGGAGGTAAGAGTCTCACAGACTTTTCTGCCTGAGCTGGCTTCCAACTGCAATCCTCAGTAGCTAGGATTTCAGAACTTTTTTTTTTTTAATCACTCTTCATTCCTCTTTTTCCTACCAGGGCTGGGAAATCCTTTTTCTGCCAAGGGCCATTTGGATATTTATAATGTCATTCATGGACCATACAAAATGATATACAAGTGGACAGACCATAGGCAGCCCACAAGAAGCTCATGAGTCTGTTTATTCGTGTACCAAGTGATCTCTCAAGTCTGGCATGGCCATGGTACAGATTATTCCTCACCTCTGGAGGGGTGGAGGGTTCCAGGAAGAGCTTGGTGAATGGAAGGGCTCGAAACTGGTCTGGATCAGAGGAGAGCTAAAAATCCTCCAAAACATCAAGGGGATCTTTAGTTTTAGGAGAAGGAGTTAGATATATTCAACCCTTCCAGAATTTCAATCCTGAGAAAAAAAAGTATGAAGTCCTGGAAGCATTAGAGGAATTAGAGACCCATTAGAGGCTGGGTGCAGTGGCTCATACCTATAATCCCATATACTCAGGAGGCTGAGATCTGAGGACTGAGGATCAAAGCCAGCCTAGGCAGGAAGGTGTTATGAGACTTTCTGTTAGGAAAATGGAGGGGAATGGAAAAGGAATAGACCGGACTTGATCAACAGGTGAGGACTGTTTATTGCCAGCAAGGGGCAGATCTTCCTGGGGGTATGGAGGGTGTGCAAGGGACTGGATTTGGGGTCAGGTTTATATAGGTCTTAATAAGAAAGCAGAAAATAATAAAATGGGCTATGATCTCTTGGGGGTCAAGGGCAGTGTCCTTGGCCAGACCCAGAGTGGAATGTTCCACCTGGAGCAAGGGGCTATGATCTCCTGGGGACCAAGGACACCTGGGGGCTAAGGGCGGTGTCTGGGGCCAGGCCCCAAGTGGAATGCTCTGCCTGGGGTGAGGGGGTGTTCAGCTAAGCCAAAGTCAGAGTGACCTGCCTTCCGGACAAGCAGGTGAATGCACACCTGCTGTTGTTCTTGACCTCAGGGGAATAAGGCACCAGTCAATCCTCCACCAAAAAGCTGGAAGTAAAGCTATAGCTCAAGTGGCAGAGCACCAGCCTTGAACAACAACAAAAAAAAACCATAAAAACCTAGAAGACTCAGAGATAGCACCTAGTCCCTGAGTTCAAGCAAGACCATTTAGAGGAATAACACAGGAAAGATCAAGTTGGAAACTGGCGCCACAATAAAGAGTGTCAGCCTTGAGTGGAAAAAGCTCAAGGACAGGGTCTAGACCCTGAGTTCAAACCCCAGGACTGACAAAAGAAAAGAAAAAGGAAAAAAAAAAGGCATCCTGAGACCAGATTTTCCCATCTGGCTTTTGGAAGCCAGCCACATGACTAAAATTAAGTATTTCCTTGTTGAGCATTTGAGAATCAAATTTAGCCCAGTATCTGAAGCATGCAGCCCAGAAGGGAGTTTCAGAGGAGAGAAGCATCTGTCCCATGTCTCCCTGGGGCATCCCGTGGTGTAAAGGGACAGAATGAGGGTGCTGCATCCCCTTTAGTCAGAGGAAGCTCAAAACTGAGGTGCAACTCTCTAGAATAGCAGGACCCCCCTGGAGTACCATTCTGAGGATTGAGAGGTCCCCCAAACATGAAGTCAGACCCAACCAGAAAAGTAGAAGGACAGGAGACAAAGGGACTCACTATTAACATCAAGACTCTTCCTTGAGGCAGAAATGATGCTGAAAAGAGATGTGAAAGGTACAATAGGAGTACAGGTACACGCCTGTAATCCTTAGCTACTCAGGAGGCTGAGATGTGAGCATCACGGTCCAAAGCCAGCTGAGGCAGAAAAGTCCATGAGACTCTTTTTTTTTTTTTTTTGGTCGGCCGTGGGGCTTGAACTATGGGCCTGGGTGCTGTCCCTCAGCTCTTCAGCTCAAGGCGAGCGCTCTACCACTTGAGCTACAGCGCCACTTCCAGTTTTTTGGTGGTTTATTGGAGATAGGAGTCGCACCGTCTCTCCTGCCCGGGCTGGCTTTGAACTGCGATCCTCAGATCTCAGCCTCCTGAGTAGCTAGGATTACAGGCGTGAGCTACCAGCGCCCGGCTTTTTTTTGGGGGGGGGTCTGGTCGTGGGGCCTGAACTCTGGGCCTGGGCACTGTCCCTCAGCTATTCAGCTCAAGGCTAGCGCTCTACCACTTGAGCCACAGCGCCACTTCTGGCTTTTTTCTTTTTGCTTATGTGGTGCTGAGGAATCAAACCCAGGGCCTCAGGCATGCAAGGCAAGCGCTCTACCACTGAGCCATCTTCCCAGCCCATCCATGAGACTCTTATCTCCAATAAACTACTAAACACACACACACACACACACACACAAAACAGAAGTAGAGGTTGGCTCAAGTAGTGAAATGCTAGCCTTGAACAAAAGAAACTCAGAGATGGTGTCCATGTCATGAGTTCAAACCCCAGGAATGACACAAAAATAAAAGTGGGAGGACTTGACATGAATAAATGCTCATCACCTTTGAGGACTGCAGGTGGGGAGACTCCATTTTCTCCTCTGTTTCTTTTGGTGGGGGGAGGTTTTACCAGAGAGCTACCTTGACCAGGGTGAGGGAAGTAGACCATCCCACCAAAACCACTCTCCATGCAGCAAATGGGAATAAAAACATGGTGGCTCCTATTTTGTAGCCTTTATATTTATTTCCACATAGTGTGTGTATTTGTGTGTGCGCACGTGCCCACCAGTACTGGGGCTTGAACTTGGGACCTTGTGTTCTTACTTGACCTTCTCTGCTCAAGGTTAGTGCTAGACCATGTGAACCACAACTTCACTACTGGCTTTTTTTTTTCACTTGCTAATTGGAGATAAGAGTCTCAAAGATTTTTCTGTCCAGGCTGGCTTTTATCCTTTTTTTTGTCAGTCATGGGGCTTGAACTCTGGGCCTGGGCGCTCTCCCTCAGCTCTTCAGCTCAAGGCTAGCATTCTACCACTTTGAACCACAGCACCACTTCCAGTTTTCTGGTGGTGTATTAGAGATACAAGTCTCACTGACTTTCCTGCCCGGACTGGCTTTGAACGGTAATAACTGATATCTCAGCATCCTGAGTAGCTAGGATTACAGGTGTGAGGCACGTGCACCCGGCTTCAGGCTGGCTTTTGAGTGGTGAACCTCAGAGGAAAGCCTCCTGTGTAGCTACTGTTCTAAATGTGCTGCTCTCCAGGAACTACTGGAATCACAATAGGCATGAAGACAGAAATGTCTCAGCAAGGCAAAATTTACTTCTGTAGAAAGGTGTGCCGCCCTCAGGAGTCAGCCTGCTGGTCTGCCATGATGCTGCTGTTAAGCCCATGTGATTTTGGCTCAAGAGAGGCCCCATCCCAGTCCTCCCTTGTCCTCAGCCTGCTGTCCCTCTGCTTTGTACACTCCCTTTGGAATCTTGCTTGGCTGGGCTTCCTGGGGTACCTGAGGAGCCCCAGCATGAGTTGGGTGTGGGCTTAGGGGTTCTGGGAAACCAACACTGCACAGGTGCCCATTAAATAGCAGGTGCATCAAAAAAAAGAAAAGAAAAAGAAAGGTGTGCCGACAGCCAAAATTCTGACCGGCAAACCCCTGCTCAGACAGGTGGGGAGAGGCTAGTTTGAATAGGGTAAATGTATTTACACAAAGCCACCATCAAAAGACTTGGAGATAAGAAACAATTCTCAAGCAATCCTAAAACATAACCACACCCTCTATTTCTGGAACCTCTTGAGGTGTGTCTTCATTGAGACAAAGCCTCACATTTAAAAAAATCCTTCCTTATCCAAAGCCGCTCCTCTTTCTTTCCCTTTCCGGCTGATAGTCTTAGAAAAATCCACCCGAGCCAAGCCACCTGGCCAAAGCAAGAATTTATGGTTGTTTTGGGTTGTTTTTGCTGGTCCTGGGGTTTGAACTCAGGGCCTGGGCGCTGTCCCTGAGCTTTCTTTGCCCAAGGCTAGAGCTCTACCACTTGAGCCACAATGCCACTTCCGGCTTTTGCTGTGTATGTAGTATTGAGGAATCGAACCCAGGACTTCATGCATGCTAGGCAAGCACTCTACCACTGAGCCACCTTCCCAGCCAGGAACTTTACTTTTGCCAGTCGTGGGATTTGAACTCAGGGCCGAGGCACTGTCCCTGAGACTTTGGTGCTCAAGGCGCTGTAGAGCTCTACCACTTTGAGCCACAGCTCCACTTCCGGTTTTCTGATGGACTCTCGTCCGGTGGTTCATTGGAGATAAAGTCTAAGACTTCCTTAAGGAAGTCAAAACGACTGGCAGTTCTGGGCCTCGATTTTTTCATCTGTCCAATGGAGCGACAGCCTCCTTTCACCTGGGGGGGGGGCAGCAAGCACCGGGAAAAGCCAGGGCGCTTCCCGGACTCCTCACAGACGGGCGCACGGAGGGCGCTCCCAGAAAAGGTGACGGAACTTCCCTCAGGCGCACGCGCGGCGCGCCACCGCACGCTCCCACGCCTGCGTGCCCCTTACGAACCTGAGCCGAGTTTGGAGGCAATGGGGGCGGAGCCTCTCCAGTACGCCTGCGCCCTATCCGGCCGTGCGCCGCGGTGGGCGGGGCCGCGCAGGCGCACTAGATAGCCCGGCTCCGGAGCATAAACAAGAGCGGGGACGGGATGAGGCGGCGGTTGGTCCCCGAGCGGCGAGTGGCGGCGACTGTGGTGGCGAACGGGTCCCGGCGCAGCCCCTGAGCGCAGCCTGACCCGGCCCCGCGCGCGCGCCCCCGCGGGCCCATCCGCCGCGCGCGCAGCCATGAACCTGGCGAGCCAGAGCGGCGAGGCCGGCGCCGGCCAGCTGCTGTTCGCCAACTTCAACCAGGACAACACGTAAGGCCGCGCCCGGGGTCGGGGTCGGGGGCGGGGGGGGCAGAGGTCAGGGACGGGTCCAGGGGGTTGCCTCGCGGGGTCACCACCCGGCCTCCCGCCCTGGCTGGGTGGTGATGGGGTGGATAGCTTGGAGAGGGGGGAGGGCGGTCTTGAGGTCTTCCCTTCTGCAGAGTTGGGGCGCCTCGACTTACCTGGGCCGGTGCGGGTGGGCGGCCGCCTCCTCGCCCGCCTCTCCTCCTTGCTCAGCCCTCTGCCTGCCCCCCCCTCCTCCTCGTTCTTCCCTCTGGCCTTTCTCCTGTCTCCCCAGTATCTGAGCCTTTCTGCACCCTCCGTCCCCCTCTTGCTCGCTTTCCTTCTTTTTTTTTTCCCTCGTTTAATTTTTTTTCTGTTCCATTGCCTTCCATCCCGCTGATCTTATTTTCTCCAGGTCACTCGGTTATCTTCTCCAGGCAAACTTAGCAAAAAAAAAAAAATCATAAAACCTTCTGACCTCCCTCCAATCAAGGGGGAAACTGAGCCACGAGAATTCTTGCAGGGACTTCCCTCCCCCCCCCCCAAGAGTTTTGGCCCTTCAGGAGAGGGGCCATCCCCTGGGGCAAAACAGCTCCTCCTCCCCACCCATTGCCAGCCTGTGGATACCAGACCCTGTTTTTCCAAGTCGCTGTGATGTGGGTGAGAAGCAGGTGGCTCAGGCTGCCTCCATGACCTGTGAGGATAGTTGGAAGATGAGAAAGAAGGATGAGTTATGATACTGGAAGGGAGGAGAGCCATCTTGGGAAATGACTAACAGGAAGTGATGTAAGAGAAGGACCAGGAGTGGGTCACTTGGCATCATGCTAAGTAGTTGGTTGGTACTGGCAGAATGGCATTAGTTAAGTAGAAAGATACACACACACACACACACACACACATTTCCTTCCCCAGTTTGAAAGTTACTTGCAGAATGGAAAAATGCCCAGATGGAGGTATGCAGTAGGCGCTAAATAGTTCCTCCCCCAAATTCTCCAGATTGGTAAAGACACAGGCACAGTGGTGCCATATTGAGAGTTGGAAGAAGTTGGTCTAGCTACAGATAAAACACTAAAATTGTCTGGGTCTTTATAGATGCTTAATAGCGGAATGAGGCTAGGAGTGGAATCTTGTCTCTTAAGTTCTCTCTTCCAGTGTTCTCTCCACTCTGCAGAATTCTGAAAACCAAGTTTAAAAAGAGTGGTATAGCAACCTAAAGATTAAAGCTACCAGATACCATAGCCAGCACAAGAAAACTATTTGTGTTGGGTGTGGTGGCTTATACCTATAATCTCAGCTCCTCAGGTGGAGGAGATTGGGAGAATCATGGTTTGAGGCCAGCTTGGCAAAAAGTTAATGACTAATCTCATCTCAGTGAGCTGTGGTGGTCCATGCCTGTATTCCAGCTATGTAGAAGTCTTTAGGTAGGATTTGGGTCTAGGCCAGCCCAAATAAATATAAAAGGCTATATTTGAAAAGTAAAACATAAGGGGCTGGAGTTATGGCTCAAGTGGTAGAACACCTGCCTAGCAAAGTTGCAAGGCCCAATCAAATCCAAGTACTGCTAGAAAAAGAAAAAAAAAACTATTCTGGCAACCTGTTGCAGTTTGCTATAATTGCAATAAACGATCCAAGTAGGGAAGAAGAAATTTAAAATTCATTACGATTTGATTTATAAGCCTGTAGTATTTGGGGTTTATCTAAATGAAGAGACTCTCCAAAATGTTTTCCATGGCTTTGTCAGCTTCTTACTAGTTATTTTTATCAGAAGGAAGTCCATTATAGGTCGACGTTCTTGTTATTTTAAATGAGCCACTAAGTTGCCTATATAATAAGCATGCCCCAATCTTGGCTGAAACAGGACTTTTTTATTCAGACTTGGAATCCTAGTGCCATAGATGCCTGTGTCATAATTTTGCCTCTATGGAGACCTTGACGTATGTAGTATTAGCGAAAGTCGGTAGCTCCAAGTGCGTTCTACTAAGAGTGAGTTCATTGGTCAGCTAGTAGGACTGCCAGACTTGTTTTAAAGCTGCATTGGAAAGAAATACAGAAGTTCCTATGCAGAGAGTTTATGCCTTCTTCTCTCCTTCCCAACGCAGAATTTATTTTCTTAGAGGAATGTGGAATGTTCAAGGACTTTTTATTAACTTTATTCCATAGTCAGATCAGAATTATGTAGAAACTAGAGGAACACCATTTTTAGTAAGGCGTCCGTGTCAGCCTTAGTCCATGATTGTAAGGGATAGTGGTTAGGGCCAGTTCAGGAGACAGAAGTGTCCTCTACAAGAATGTCAGTTGGTCTGTATCTTTTTTTGGGTGGTCGTGGGGCTTGAACTCTGGGCCTGAGTGCTGTCCCTGTGCTCTTCAGCTCAAGGTGAGCGCTCTACCACTTGAGCTACAGCGCCACTTCTGGTTTTCTGGTGGTTTATTGGAGATAAGAGTTTGATGGACTTTCCTGCCCAGGCTGACTTTGAACCGAGATCCTCAGATCTCAGCTTCCTGAGTAACTAGGGTTACAGGTTTGAGCCACCAGCGCCCGGCCGGTCTTTATCTTTTAAACTAAGCCTAGCAACACCATATCCCTGGCACTTCAAACTGTCACTGTCTTATCCTCTTTCTTTGTACTGGTCAATATGATTTCAAATGATGTGGTTGGTTTTCCTTTTATTTGCATCGTTATCCTGAAAGTGTGATTTGAGTTTTATTTGCTTTTTACCATGTTTTGTTTTTGATTTTGTTTTGTTTTTGTTTTTGTTTTTGTTTTAACTAGAAGAGAGAAAAAGAGAGCAAGAGCATCTGGTCGTCGTCATCGTGACTATGCCTGGTTAGTTCCCATCCTGGGTCTCTGAAAGTAACTGCAAAAGGCTGGTATTGGAGCCCCTCCTGGCTTTTGGATATTGAAGTTAGACCCAGGCTCACACCTAATGATCCCTCCTAGTTGGGAGGTAGAGATTGGGGGGATCTTGGCCTGCCAAGCCCAGGCAAAAAGCAAAACCCCATTTTAATAAGCTGGGGTTGGTTGTGCATTTCTGTGATCCCAGCTTCATAGGAGACCACAGGTAGTAGGAAGGTGATCCAAGTTCAGCCTGGACAAAAAATCCCTAGGACTGGGAGCAAGTACAAGGTTATGAGTTCAAACCCCAGGACTTCCACAGGGGGAAAAAAAAAGGTGAAGCTAACTAGTGACTTAAGTGGCAAAGGGTCTCTGGACTGTGGAAATAGTGGGGACCACTGTGGGGTGCTGATATGGCCATGTCTGTCCTAGACAATATTGCTGAAAGGGATAGAAAGAAGATGTGGCTTGGCCTCCCCAGCCTTGATGTCATTCAAGGTCTGGGGGGATTGGCTGCTGGGCTCTGTCCTTGTCTGCAGATCAAGATGGCTTTTAAGGGTCTTCAGCCTTAGAGCTGGGGTCCCTGTGCCTGAGGTGCTGAGACATTGAGAAAGACAGGGATGACACAGTCCAGCACAATAGCCTGTGGCAAGGAGACTGCATCGGAAGAAATTTGGTGTAGGAAAGGGCTCTGCTTTGGATCTAGATGGCTTTGAAGGCCTTACGACTGGCCAGGGCAGGCTGCAGTGGAAACTTGTAAGTCTTTGGTAAGAGCTGGGCCTGCCATAGATGGCTTAGAAGGTCCCAAGTGAGGGCGACAGGCCCTGCCGGCTTGCTGGCAGCCTCAGGGCAGCTGCTTCCTGATCCCCTTCACTCCTGTAATCAAGTGCTCACCCCTGTAATCAGGTGTGGCCTTTCAGAAGGAAGACAGTAGAAGGAAGCATATAGGAAGTGGCTCCTGGAAAAGGAAGAAAAAGATCTTCACATTTTCACTGTTAGTAGAAATGGCTGCTTTTTAGATGGGGAATGCTCAAGTTAAATGCAGTGACAGACTTTGGATTGAAGGTGGTAAATGAAGCAGAAGCATTTGTTTGGCTCTCTCCCCAAATTGGAATTAAATGTCTTTAGGGCTTGACCCAAGGGCTATGGTGGGGTCTAGACCAGGGAGTAAGGAAGGAGGTTAGGGACGGAATTCCTGTGCTGCCAGTGGCTCCCTCCTCTAAAGACAGAGCTGATCTCTGCTCTGGAGGAAGCAGAACAGAACAACAGGATCTTCTTTTTTTTTTTTTGCCAGTCCTGGGGCTTGAACTCAGGGCAGGCGCACTGTCCCTGAACTTCTTTTTGCTCAAGGCTAACACTGTACCACTTGAGCCACAATGCCACTTCTGGCTTTTCTGTTTATGTGGTACTGAGAAATCAAACCCAGGGCTTCATGCATGTTAGACAAGCACTCTACCACTAAGCCACATTCCCAGTCCAGTATTACTACTTTTAAGTACTCATGTATATTGTAATAAATAGTGTTATTAGAGCAAAGCTCATACTTATCTGCAGTCTATCTCTCCCATTCTTGCATCTGGCATTTTATGGTCAGGTGAATCATGAGCTGTGATTAAAGTAGAATCTCTTTTGTGTTGGAAAAATCAAGTGTAAGCACACACACATACACACATGCATATGTGCTGGGCACTGAACCCAGGGCCTTGCTCTCACTGAACCAAGGGCCTTACTCTGCAATAGAGTTACCCTCCTTCCTTAGCCTAGTATAAAACCCTTCCCTCTCTCCCCCACTTTACTGGGAAGGGGTCTACTTCTGCTGTATATACTGGATCTGTATCTCAGGACTACCAGTGTTTGTGTTTTTATTTCTTATTTTCTTTTTTTAATTTTTTTGCCAGTCCTGGAGCTTGAATTCAGAGCCTGACTACTGTCCCTGAGCTTCTTCTTTTTTTTTTTTTTTATTTGTTTTTTTGGGTCCAGTCATGGGGCCTGAACTCTGGGCCTGGGCGCTGTCCCTCAGCTCTTCAGCTCAAGGCTAGTGCTCTATCACTTGAGCCACAGCGCCACTTCTGGCTTTTCTTTTTGCTTATGTGGTGCCAGGGCCTCTGGCATGCAAGGCATGCCCTCTACCAATGAGCCACCTTCCCAACCCCCCCTGAGCTTCTTTCACTCAAGGCTAGCACCACTTGAGCCACAGCGCCACTTCTGGCTTTTTCAGTATATGTAATACTGAGGAATGGAACCCAGGGCTTCGCACATGCAAGGCAAGCACTCCACCACTAAGCCACATTCCCAGCCCTGTGTTTTTATTTCTTACTAGCTGGAGTACACCCCTGCTTTGTAGACTTCGGGGTTATAATTCTAGAGGAGGCATGTAGCATGCTAAATCAGAGCAGGCATGGTGGTCAAAGCCTTAGTTTGAGCAACTTCTGTCTGGCTGGGAAGGGGAGGGGCACAGTCGAGTGCTTAGATACTTTCCATTTGTTCCAGGACCCGATTCTAAGGCTCACCTACTTGGCCCTTGGGAGAACCCTCCCTCCCCCACCCCCCAAGCTTACTTTATACTTAAGGCTCATGAGCATATGGTAGTGTGGTTTCTAAGCCAAGGAAGTTAGAAGGAGCAGGGCTGTTAATGGTGGTAGAATGGTCCCAAGGGAATGTAGCACTGCAAAACCAAGGCAGGAAATAGGTTTTGATGCTTGGGATGAAGCCCAGAGCCTCTCAAGTTCTTTGTACTTGTTCTGCCACTGAGTTTCAGGCCCAGCCACAGAAAGTATCTTCATAAAAGCACTGAAGTCTGACCATCTGGTGGGTGTAGGCAAAACAGTTCAAAAGAATTTGTGAGCCATGTGTGGTGGGCACACCTGGAATCCTAGCATTTGGGAGGCTGAGGCAGGAAGATCTCAAGTTTGGGGTTGTTTATTTGTTTGAGGGTTGTTTTTGGTTTGGTTTTTTTTGGTTGGTTGTGGGGCTTGAACTCTGGGCCTGGCCACTGTCCTTGTGCTCTTCAGCTCAAGGTGAGCGTTCTACCTCTGGAGCCACAGCACCACTTACGGTTCTCTAGTGGTTTATTGGGGATCAGAGTCAATACGGACTTTTCTGCCCGGGCTGGCTTTGAACCATGATCCTCAGATCTCTCAGCCCGCTGAGTAGCTAGGATTACAGGCGTGAGCCACAGGCACCCGGCTTGTTTGAGGGTTTTTTTTTTTTTAACCAGTCCTAAGACTTGAACTCAGGGCCTGGGCAGTCTCTGAGCTTCTTTTGATCAAGGCTAGTGCTCTACATCTAATCTATAGTACCACTTCTGGCTTTTTCTGGAATTTCTGTTTGTACTGAGGAATTGAACCCAGAGTTTCATGCATGCTAGGCAGCCACCCTACCACTAAGTCATATTCCCAGTCCCTGTTGGTTCTTTATTTATTACCACTTTTCAAAATGTTCGCAAGAATTACTAGTAATACCTGAGATAACTAGTTATACATGCAGAGTTGTGGTTTTTTTGTTTGTTTGTCTGTTTGTTTGTTTTGGCAAAGAAAAATCCCACACACTAGTAGATAGGCCTATTTTTGTTCTGTTACACTTCTCTGCAGCCCAGGCTGGTCTCACACTTGTGATCTTTCTGCCTCAGCCTCCCTGGTGCTGAGATTACAGGTGGGTACCACCACCGCTGGATATAATTTAAAATGTTAACAGTGCTGATAACCATTCCATTCTCAACAATGTATTTCGTCGACGTGTGTATGGAAGAGGAGGAAGTAGATGATCAATTAAAGTACCTTAGAGTACAGATGCATGAAGGATGAAGTGTCTTACCTTCTTTCTCTCTGGGCTTCCAGTCTGTCTACTTGTTTTCCCCAGAGGTCACACATGAAATGCTCTGTGTGACTTCCCACCACATCCCTCCTGCTTTCTCCTTTCCCTACTTCTATAGCTCTGTTTGCTTCTCCCTGCCATCCTTGAAGAGGTAACCCTATGGGGGAAGGGGGTGAGGAAGGCAGCCAGCACCAGGTCCTCAGAGGACTTGCAGCATGGCACTTACCTGGCTCTGCCCTGCCTTCCAACCTACTTGGTCATGTTGCAGCAGGAATGGTGGAGGCTATGTTGGAAAAGACCACCTGGGTGACAGTTGTCTTAGGATTTAGAACTCGGTGCTGGCATGAGTGTTTTCAAGTTCTCAGTACATCCCTGTTTCCCAGCATCATCATGCAGCACAGTAGTCTCCAGAAAAGGTTTGTAGATATTAACCAAGAACATTGTGTGTTCCACTGGCCTAGTAGCCTGCTCCTGTGCCCCGCCCTGGCACACAGGCAGCAGTGGGCAGAGATGGGCCTGCTGCAATGCCCTGGACCTACAGGAGGTGAGAGCGAGCTACAGTGAGCTTGTGTGAGAATCAGCTCCTTTTTTTAAAAAAAAAATTTAAACTGTTATTATAAAGCTGATATATGGGGGGAGGGGGGAGATGGGAAAGGGAAACAAAGGAGGAGGCAACAATGCTTGATAAGAAATGTACTCATTACCTTGCCCATGTAATTGTAACCCCTCTGTACGGTATTTTCACAATAAAAAATAAATAAATAAAATGTCTTATTTATAAAGAAAAAAAAAGGTGATGTACAGAGGGGTTACAGTTATATAAGTCAAGTAAATAGTACATTTCTTTTTGGACAGTGTCACCCCTTCCCTCGTATAACCCTTATTTCTGAATTTGGCTTTTTTGCAGGTCCCTAGCAGTTGGTAGTAAGTCCGGTTATAAGTTTTTCTCCCTTTCTTCTGTGGATAAGCTGGAACAGATCTATGAATGCAGTAAGTGATTGCTTTATTTTTCTTTTCTTAAAAAAATACAGACCTGGCTGGGCACCAGTGTCTCATGCCTATAATCCTAGCTATGCAGTAGGCTGAGATCTGAGGATCGAGGTTCAAAGCCAGCCCATGCAGGAAAATCCCATGAGACTTATCTCTAATTAACCACTGGAAAATGGAAGTGGCACTGTGGCTCAAGTGGTAGAGTGCCAGCCTTGAGCAGAAGAGCTCAAGGACAGCGCCCAGGCCCAGAGTTCAAGCCCCACGACTGACAAACAAACAAAATAGACCAATTGTATGTGACATGAAATAAAGTCTTAAACACTCTGGTTTAAGTGTAGTACCCCCTGGGCTAGTCTTCTGGTCCCAGCTCCATCTCCTCAGGGGTAACAACTACTGATGCTCCACAGGTGTCCTTCCAGGTCCTCTCCTGTGTATTTGCGTAAGTATAAATGTTCACTCAGAATTTATGGACTTTTTTTGTTTTTGATACTTTGCCATATACATACATTACTCTGTATGCCATTTAAACCATTTAGGTTGCTTCTAGAACACTCAGACCTTTTCAGCCCCTGTAGGAATGATTTAACTTCTTGTCATTTTCTAGCATCTGAGCTCCCCATGTGTCAGCGGCCATGTGGAGTAGAGTGAGGGCTGTGAGTTGAGTGGCGGTAGAGCAGTGGAAAGACTGAGCTTGGGCTTCTTGATCAGTCACTTACTATTGGCTTTAAATGGACTACCTCATTTCTAGGTAGTTCCTTTTTACTGTTTATAGAACAGAAATAAAATGCCCATGTATGGAGTTGTCTGATTAGAAATCAGTGGCTCTATAAAGCAGTATTTGCAGAAGAAATTTTAAGTACAGACCCTCACTGAAATTATTAAGATTCTCCTGGAGATCTGAGATGTCCAGGTCCCTTGAATCCTTTGTTCAGTTTCTCCCAGTGGAAGCATGTTGCAAAGCCTCAGCACCAGAACAGTGCTATTGTCGCCCTGCTGGTTTATTGTACCCATGTTCTGAGTTCTAATCCTATGTTGATTCCTGTATCCTCCATAAGATATGGACCAGAACCCCCTCAGCCTCCTACCACAGCCCCTAATCCTGGCAACTCAAGTTGTCTTCCTCTCTCAGGTTGGAAAGTTGTATTAGGTTTTTTGTTGCTAGAACAAAATACTCGAGACAAGACAACTTGGGAAGAAAAGATACACTTTTTGGAGATAAGTGCCAGCAATGCAGTACTGAGCCATATGGTAATAATAGCATGTGTGATTTTGAAGAAACTGACCATATCCAGGGGCTGCACCATTTTACCTACCCGCCAGCAGTAAGTTTTCAGCCCCTCAGTTCTGTGCCATTGCCGACATTTGGTATTACCATATATTCGAGTGGCATGGTACTTTCAGTATGTTCCTTGTCCTCTTCTGGCTGGTGACAGTGAATGTCTTTGGTGCTCCATACCACCTGCGTGTCCCCCTAAGCAAACTGTCGGGTCACCTGTGCCCACTCTGACTCAGTTGGTTCTGTAGTGTTGAGTGTCCTGGTGTCTGGCTAGCCATGGGGCCTGGATCTGCATGGAGCTTTTGGAGCAGATCTGAGCACCTGTGGAGCCTCCTTTCAGGGAGTAAGGAGTGTGCCGTTTGTAATGACCTGGCTGTAGTTTGGACAGTGGGTTGAGGATCTTTATCATTCTGGTTGTGTACAGGGGCATTTGGAGAGCTGGGTTTCCACCCTATTGACAATGCCAGCATCTCTTGTCAGTGTGTGAACCCTGTTGGCACTGTTGCCTGTATTGGTGCCCAGGAGTGGCACGAGAAGACACCCTCCATGAGTTCACACATTCACACCACCTGGTATCTAGTTACTAGAGGCCAAGAGAGATGGTGTTTCTATCCTTGTGAACTTGTCTTTAACTAGAGGAAGACGGGGATGGAGAGGAGTTTGTGTGTGTGTGTGTGTGTGTGTGTGTGTGTGTGTGTGTGTGTGTTGAAGCTGGGACATATTGGAAAGGAAACAGGTAGGATTGACAGTTCACACGTGTCTTTAACTAGAGGAAGACGGGGATGGAGAGGAGTGTGTGTGTGTGTGTGTGTGTGTGTGTGTGTGTGTGTGTGTGTGTGTGTGTGTGTTTGTGTTGAAGCTGGGACATATTGGAAAGGAAACAGGTAGGATTGACAGTTCACACGTGTGTGTACACCCTGCTAACAGAATGTGAACATTCAACTGTGAAGTACAGAGGTTAGCCACCAGGAGGGGAGGGGCCTGGCCTCCTGCCTTCAGGCACCCTCCCTTGCTCTCAGTGGCCCATTGTCTATTGTCCATTGCCCAGAAGAAGTGCCTGTCAGGGCCCTTTCCAGAGAGGGATGGCCAGGCTTGGCGCAGCCTTCTACTACTGTCTTAGCTTTGCTCCTCTATTGTCACAGCCTCTGGTGCTTACTAAACTTCCCACCTGAGCTCCCTATTCAGGAGGCCTTTCCTCTGTACCTCTCCTCACATGACCAAAGGGTGAGGTAGGTGTGATCCAGCTCACTGACCTGGAGCACCCAGCATTCTTGATCTCCAACAGGACCTTCCCCCCCAGAGGATGAAAGGTAGCCCTGTCTCTGGCAAAGGAGTCTCTGGCCTTCACGAATGACTGAAACATTGACTGAATTTATGTCCCTATGAAGTACCTTGGTCATGCTCTCAAACCCTTGTCAATCACTACAGACGTCCTCACGGTCCTCAGGCACACATTGCTATGTATGGCCTGATGTGTGGACCTAACTGGGTCTAGTGGCTCAAACAGGAACTAACACACACACAAAAGCTAATCTTCATTCTTCATGAAGTGGACTCACTTGGCTGGCTTTTGGTGGAGTAGCTTGTGATGTGTTGACAGTGTCTGTAAGAAGGAACTAGACCCTGGCCAGCAAGGGATTCTGTGTTCATTCTTGAGTAAGCTTTGGTTTTAAAACTATATAAAGCAGACAGCGTTTTCAGGTGCACACTTCAAACCTAAGACATCCTTCTGTTGAGGAGTAAAAGGATGTGTGCCTTAGGAGCAGCTTGGCCTCTTGAGTGTGTGAAGTGTGCATACAAGATTGGTTAATAGGGGCTGGGAAGGTGGCTCAGTGGTAGAGCGCTTGCCTTGTATGCATAAAGCCCTGGGTTCAATTCCTCAGCACCACATAAGCAAAAAAAGCCAGAAGTGGCGCTGTGGCTTAAGTGGTAGAGAACTAGCCTTGAGCTGAAGAGCCCAGAGAGGGCACCCAGGCCCAGAGTTCAGGCCCCACAACCAACCAAAAAAAAAAAAAAAGGATTGGCATTCTCTTGCAGGGGGACAGCAAGGACCCTTGATTATTCCAGGGTTGGCTGGTCCTTCTCAGCAGTCCACAAGAAAGTCAGATCTTTATGGCTGTGACAGAAAGAATGAACCAGAACCGGTCCTGAAAAGAAAGAAGCTAGGCAAGTATTCTTCCATACCTTGAAAATGTACTAGGAACCACAGCCTGTGGCTGGCAGCATTGTTAGCCTCACTGCCTCCACCGTTGTTGTTGCCCACAGAGCCCAGGGGCCCAGCTCCCACATGCTTTGCCTGTTAGCGCCTGTATGGTGCTTTGAAGGTGCATAATGCTCCCAGGCAAGGCCTCTCATCCCATTCCTCCCCCACCCCCACCCTGGTAGGCGGAAAGGTAAATGACCAGCTTTATAATTTGTAAAATTATCCTGGGAAGTTAGTGTTGTATGCTTTCCTTGCGTGTTGTGAGCTGAGCTGGAGAGAGATGCATGGTAAAGCACTCCTGAAAGCTGGCAGACCCCACACTGGCATCTTCGGGCTGGGCACTGATGCTTCTGTCTGTCTGTGTTGGCTATTATATTCATTTCAGTGAGATCTATGAAATGGAGTCTGGGGACACAGATCCAACATCCAGCAGACTCATGGGAAGCATCTTGTGTTGATTATTTACCTGCTTTATCTCCACTCTCCAGTCAGCCCTTTAAAAGCACATCAAAACTTCCTCCCTCCCTCCCATCCAGTAATTAATTCTCCAAGTCAGAGCTCACACCACCAGTGCCCAGGAGGAAAGTTTGCAGGAACTGGGGCAGAGGCCACCTAGACGAATCCTGAGAGCCTGGCCTGGCCACTTGAGGTCAGCAATGTTTGTGCTCATTCCCTCCCTGTCAGCCATGTGCTCTGCCTGGTTTTGACAGTGTGTCACCATAAATCATGTTTCTCGCGTGACTCTCCTGCCTTGTGCTCCCTACGAGCGCAGAGCTGCCTGCCCTGGCATTGATGCCCTGAGGGCCAAATGTGCATGTGTGGTAGTGGTTCTGGAGGGTGAGGTGGATACCACTCACTCCTGGTGGACAGGAGGTCTTGGCCTCTGCCTGGCTGCTTTGGAAAGCTGGCTATCTACAGATAACCACCAGAAGACTAGGCAGTTGGCCTGTGCCCCTAGATTCCACAACCTTATCAGGACACCTGGGCCATGGGCAGATCTCCGGAAAGGCTGCCCTGCTGCATGCCCATGTCCGCCTGGCCTAGCTCGTGACTTGATAGAGTGCCCTGCTACACTCATCAGCTTCTTGCATCAGATCTTCATATGTCAGCCAAAGTTCATCTGGCTTCCGTGTGTGTGTGTGTATGTGTTGCGCGTGTGTGCGCGCATGCGCGCACACTCTCACAAGCACTGCCCTGTGAAATGTGATTGACACCTATATGGCATATAAAGAAATTTGTTGGGCTGGGCACCGGTGGCTCACGCCTGTAATCCTAGCTGCTCAGGAGGCTGAGATCTGAGGATCATGGTTCAACGCCAGCCTGGGCAGGAAAGTCTGTAAGACTCATCTCCAGTAAACCACCAGAAAACCGGAAGTGGCACTGTGGCTCTAGTGGTAGAGTGCTCACCTTGAGCTGAAGAGCTCAGGAACCGCGCCCAAGCCCAGAGTTCAAGCCTCACAACTGACAAAAAGGAAAAAAAAAACTGTTGTGAGGCTTAGTATATTTACTAAGTTGTGCAGCTTACCATAATCTAGTTGTAAAACATTTCTATCATCTCCCTAAGACAGCCTGCTTTCATTAGCAGTTACTCCCCGGCTCCCCCAGCACCTCGACTAATCTACTTTCTGCTCCTATGAACTGGCTTGCTGTCTGGGCCTTTCACATAAATGCAGGGTGGTGGCCAGCCTCCTTCACAGTGCCATCGGGGCACCTGGCAGGAAGAGCTTTTCTTTGAAATTTCAGGAGAGATAAGAGTTGACACCAAATGGTCAAAGTTTGCATTTAATCAATCTAAGTGTGGTATACGTATAGCCTCGTACTGGTTCTTAAAAGTCTCAGAGAAATAAGCCTCTACTGCTTTTCACAGAATTTCCTGAAAGCCATAGTAGGGAAGGAAAATGGGCAGCCCCCCATCTGGTGGTTTTTGCCCTCTCTGCACTGGCATTGACACTGCTGAACACGTGTCCTTCACAGCCAGCAGACATCACCCGCTGCTTAGGTTGTGTGGCTGCCATCTCTCCAGCCTCGTCCTTTTTTCACACTCCACCCTCCTGCTCCATGTGCACTGTCAAGGGGGTGCTGAGAGCCTCCAGGCTTTCCTGCCCCAGGAGGTGAAGTGTACACACAGCACATTTGTGACTGCCAGATAGATCTGTGTGAAATGTGTTTCCCATGCTCGGAGTGTGAATATTATTATTCCCATAATGGCCTAGCTGCTAAGGATAAAACTGCTATCAGCATTCTCATACGAGCCCTTTCTCACTGTGTGGCCTAGGCTAGTCTCAAACCTGAGACTACATACAGGTGGTTATGCCTGACTTTTTTTTTTTGTCGGTTGTGGGGCTTAAACTCTGGGCCTCAGTTCTTCAGCTCAAGGCGAATGCTCTAGCACTTGAGCCACAGCACTACTTCTGGTTTTCTAGTGGTTTAAAATTGGACATAAGAGTCTCATGGACCTTCCTTTTCGGGCTGCAGTCCTCAGATCTCAGCCTCCTGAGTAGCTAGGATTACAGGCATGAACCACCAGCTCCCGGCTACTATCTTTTCTCTAAAAAAATTGTGGTTATAAAGGTGATGTACAGAGGAGTTACAGTTACATAACTTTTTTTTTTTTTTTGTCGGTCTTGGGGCCTAAACTTTGGGCCTGGGCGTTGTCCCTCAGCTCAAGGCTAGTGCTCTACCATTTAAGCCACAGTGCCACCTCTGACTTTTTCCTCATATGTGGTGCTGAGGAATTGAACCCAGGGCCTCATGCCTACAAGGCAAGCACTCTTACCACTGAGCCACCTTCCCAGCCCAGCCCCTGTAACAGTCTTTTGAAAGCATATGTTTTCATTCCTTATGTGTAAATACTATAGTGGGATCTTTGGATAAGTACTGTACTTTGTGTGTGTGTGTGTGTGTGTGTGTGTGTGTGCATGCGTGCGCACGCATGTGTGCACGTGCACATATACGCATGCTAATTCTGGAGCTTGAACTCAGGACCTGGGTGCTGTCCCTGGGCTTTTTTGCTCAAGGCTAATGCTCTATCACTTGAGCCACAGCTCCACTTTGGCTTTTGGTGATTGATTGCAAATAAGTCTCATGGACTTTCCTTCCCAGACTGGCTTTGAACCTCAATCCTCAGATCTCAGCCTCCTTAATAGCTGGAATTTCAAGTGTGAGCCACAGGTGCCTGGCACTTTCTCACTTTTTTTTTCCTTTTGTGTCAGTCTTTTTTTATTTAGCATATTTTCATGTTTATTTACTTCATAGCATATTCTATACCACATTTTGTTTATTCATCTGATAATGAACATTTGTTTTTTTCCACTTTTTGGCTATTTTGAATAATGCTTCTAGTAACACTGGCAGACACATATCTACTTGACTTTCTCACTTTTATAAGACACTACCACACTTTTCTCCTGGGTTGTGGCCTCTCACCAGTGCTATGAAATCCGCTTACTGTGTGCCCCTCTTCTAACACCTCATGCTACTTTCTTGTGCATTTGAGACACTCCAGTGTGGTGATCCTGTCACATTGTGTTGTTCAGTGCTTAGGAGGGAACCTAGGCCCTTGTGCCCATTAGGTGTGTATTGAGCCCCTGGGCCACACCTTTGTCCATTTTGGGGGTTTGCATCCTGCCAGCTATGGCTCTACTCACGCATTATCAGTTCTAGCAGTTATCTTTGCAGGCCCTGGTACTGCAGGAGGCTCTATAACACCTTCCTCTGCTCCCTGTGCTTCTCATAGCCAGGCCTGCAGGGCACAGGGAGGAAAGGGCATCCTTGTCTCCTTCCCAGTCTTGTGGGACAGGATTCTGATATATCCCAGGAAGAGTAGTATCTCCAATCAAGTAGCAATGCTTGTTCTTGTCCCTGGGCAAAAATCTAAGTGTTCACTCTGAACAAGCACAGGCTATGTCCTGTTGCTCTGCTTCTGTGAGCTGATGGGACCATGCTCTTGTGAATGGGTGTAGATTTGTTACCACATGGAGACTCCTGGGGAACCTTCCACCTCTGCCCTCAAGCCAGTAAGTGCCCGTACTCCAATGAGGGGCTGGTGACCACAAAGGGGCCCCTTCCTCCTCCTTCCACACCCCTACCCTCATTGGCCCTGGCCCTGATGGTTTCTGCTCCTGCTGCAGAGGGAGGGTCTTGAAAATGCAGAGAGGATGACCCAGAGCAGCTCCCCCTCCTCCGGTGTCCTGTGCTGCAGGCAGCTCCTGCAGGGATTGGTGCAATCCAGGATGCTGCAAGCAGAGGAGCTTGGAAGATGCCACTTGCATTTTTATTTGGAATAAAAGTTTGTTTACTGCCACAGGAAAGGGTGAATACATTTGTGTCCACTGGTTCAGTGGAAGTGGTTGTGCTTAGAGGATTGTACTTGACTTCACTGGCTTCTACCTCTCTCTAGGTGATAGCAAACCCTTAGACATGAACAAGTGGTGGGCCTCTGTGTATGCACATTCAGTGTGTTAGTATTAAGCCCATGCTCAGCACCTTTGTGGTCATATCCCAGCAGAAATGGCCCATACCAGGCCCTTGCCTGAACATCGGGACACTCCCATCCTAAAGTAAAAATATGTTAATGACATAATGTATAATGATGAGTGTAGTAGTTCATGCCTGTAATCCCAGCACTTGAGAGACTGAGGCAGGACTGTGAGTTCCCACCAGCCTGAGACCTTTTTTTTTTTTTTGCAGGGTGGGGGTGAGGGTGGGGGTGGGAGGGGCCGATTGTGGGGCTTGAACTCTGAGCCTGGGCGCTGTCCCTCAGCTCTTCAGATGAAGGCTAGCGCTCTACCACTTGACCCACAGCGCCACTTCCAGTTTTCTGTTGGATAATTGGAAATAAGAGCTTCATAGACATTTCCTGCCCGGGCTGGCTTTGAACCAAGATCTTCAGATCTCAGCCTCCTGAGCAGCTAGGATTACAGGTGTGAGCCACCTGTGCCCAGCTCTTTTTTTTTTTTTTAAAGCAACTCTGCATTTCTGTCCTCGCTGTTGTGTCACATGGTGCCAGCAGGACAGCAGATCTAAGTTCTTTGGTTGAGATCAGGATCGCCGGACTGAGCATCCCAGAACAGCACTGCCTGTCGCCAGCCCAAGAAAAGATACCAGCACACACCTAAAAGCACATTTGTTGCTTTTTGACCCGCCATGAAGTTATACTAGGAAGCACTGGGCCCTCATCTCTGCCTCACTGCCTCTGGTAGTTTGCTTTGTAAATGGGCGAGTGTGCTGAGTCCAGTAACCACTTATTTAGGATCCTTTGAAGTAAGTCCCCTTGCAGATTGTCTTAGTGTGAATTGTCATGCTGAGGTGATCCTTGTGCCCCCCGGAGATCAGAGGCCCTAGGACACTGGCTCCCAGGCCAGCCAGGCATGTGCATGTATGATTGTGCCTGCTAACTTGCAGCATAGATATTCACATGCATGCTCTTGTGATTTCAGCTGACACAGAAGATGTGTGCATCGTGGAAAGATTGTTCTCGAGCAGCTTAGTGGCCATCGTTAGTCTCAAAGCTCCCAGGAAACTGAAGGTTTGCCACTTTAAGAAGGGAACAGAGATCTGCAACTACAGCTATTCCAACACCATCCTGGCCGTGAAGCTCAACAGGCAGGTGAGTGGCATTCCGGAGGATGCACTACCCGGTCTTGGGGTCCTACCATGTCTGGGACAGAGCAGAGATCAGGGCTGGTGCCCCCACTGTTCACCCTACCACCTGTCCCTGGGTTGTGTGCATGCACCTGCATCCAGCAGCCCAACAACTCTGTCCTCCCATCTCAGCCCCTGTTCAAACCACCCTGTGCCCATACATGCCCTCACTCCTGCCCCACTGTGTTGCTCATCCCTAGGGTACAGGTTTGGCATCTGCATGTGCTTGCCTAGACAGAGCACAGCATTTCACTTCCTGCTGCCCTTGCTCAGCATGTTTTCCTTTAAAAGTGTACTCGACTACTTTTCATTGTTTTGTTTTTCCCAGTCCTGGGGCTTGACCTCTGGGCTTGGGCTAAGGTTTTGTCCTCAGGCTAGCAATCTACCTACCACTTGAGCTGCAGCTCCACTTCAACTTTTTGTAGTTAATTGGAGATAAGAATCTCAGTGGAAGGCTGGTGGCTCATGCCTGTAATCCTAGCTTCTCAGGAGGCTGAGATCTGAGGATCTCAAAGCCAGCCCAGGCAGGGAACTCCTTGAGACTCTTATCTCCAATAAACCACTAGAAAACTGGAAGTGGCACTGTGGCCTGAGCGATAGAGCAATTGCCTTGAGCTGAAGAGCTCAGGTACAGTGCCCAAGCCCAGAGTTCAAGCCCCACGACTGACAAAAAATAAAAAAAAAAAAAAGAGTCTCATGGACTTCCCTGTCCAGGCTGACTTGGAACTTCAGTACTTAGATCTCAGACTCTTGAGTAGCTAGGATTACAGGCAAGAGCCACCAGTGCCAAGCCCTGTTTTTTTTTGAGATAAGGCCTTGTTGTGTAGCCCAAGTTGCATTTTGAACTCAAGATCATGTACTAGAATTATAAGTGAACCACCATACCCAGCTCTGTTCTTCCTCTTGTAAAATGTTCATTTTACTTGTATTCTCCTAAAACAAACACAATTCCCTGGTCCACACCTGGTGCATGGCCTTTGAACTTAACCTGAAGGCTGTGTCCTGGTTGGGCTGCCCAGATACAGTACTGCCCCTGGCCTGCAGTGCACTCTGTGAGTGGTGGCTGGTGTGGCACAGGGAAGCAGACCACAGCCAGCAGTGAGCTGGAGGCTGGGGGACCCCTTCTTCATAGGAGCCAGGGATGCCCTGGTAACTGACAATGCTGCCTGAGCTCATAGCTCATTCTCTTACCTTTGTGCACAGAAGACAAGAAGCCACGATTACACCCAGTTCCTGCATAATAATTATGTCACCTGTGACGTGCTTTTTTAAAAAATTGTCTCTAGTTGTACAAAGGGGTTTCAATCCAACAAATCAGTTTATAAATACTCTGCATCTTAATCGATGTCTCCCTTTCCATCTCTGTCATTGTCGTTCATCCTCTCATGTTACCCCCAGTGTGTTTACAGGAGTAAAAACGGAGTTGACTGGCCCATGAGTGAAACTGTACTTTTCACACATTGCTAGGCTTTTCTTTTTGTCTTAGTGGGGCCTCGTTCCCATTTATAGAGGAACCACCTGTACCACCCCCTCCAGAGCCCACTTTGCTCAGCTCTAGTGTCTATTGAGAACTAGTACACTCAGATGCATTCATGGGAGCAGGCCCATGGGCTCAGCACTGGGGAGCACCTGCATAGTGTTCTTGGAGTGGATGGCATCGTGCTCTGGCAGATGTGAACCACATCCCCACCCGCAGGCTGCATGCCAACTGAGACTTCTGTCATGCGTGCTTCTCATCATGTGCCCTCTCTTTATAGAGGCTCATCGTGTGTCTGGAGGAGTCTCTGTATATACACAACATCCGGGACATGAAGGTACTGCACACCATCAGGGAGACCCCCCCAAACCCCGCAGGTAAGCCACTGAGAGAAGAAAACCTGCTTCTCTAGGCCTTTCAAAGATAGCTAGACCTGCTGTGTGCTGGTGGCTTACTCCTGTAACCCTAGCTACTCAGGAGGCTATGATCTGAGAGTCACAGTTTAAAGCCATCTGGGCAGGAAAGGATGTGAGACTCTAATCTCCAATTAACCACTAGAAAGCCAGAAGAGGAGCTGTGGTTGAAAGTAGTAGAGTGCTAGCTTTGAGTAAAAGAGTTTGGGGACAGTGCCCAGGCTCTGAGTTTAAGCCCCAATACTGACTGGGGGGTGGGAGGGGTTGGGGGGAAAGGGGCGGGGGAGCTACAGCTGAAAGAGTTCCTCCCTATTTATGGGTTCCTCAAAAATACATTTAAAAAGAGTAGTGATCCTGGAGCTAGTAAGGTGGCTCAGTGGTAGAGTGCTTGCCTTGCATGCCTGAGGCCCTGGGTTTGATTCCTCAGCACCACATAAGCAGAAAAAGCTTCAAGTGGCATTGTGGCTCAAGTAGTAGAATGCTCACCCTGAGCTGAAGAGCTGAGGGTCGGTGCCCAGGCCCAGAGTTCATGCCCTACGACTAACCAAAAAAAAAAAAAAAAAAAGTAGTGATTTTGCCAGGTACCAGTGGCTCATGCCTATAATCCTAGCTACTCAGGAGGCTGAAATCTGAGGATTATGGTTCATAGGCAGCCCTGACATGAAAAAGTCTGTGAGGCTCTTCAATTAACTACCAGACTACCAAAACACAGGAAATGGAGCTGTGACTGTAGTGGTAGAACACTGGCCTTGAGCACAAAATTCTGGAGACGGCGTCCAGGCCCTGAGTTCAAGCCTAAGGACCGGCAAAAAAAAAAAAGTATAAGCCAGGAGTAGTGGCACGCTCCTGTGGTCCTAAGCACTTTGGAGGCCAACACAGGAGGATCTTGAGTTCCAGGACAGCCTGGACTACAAAAGTTGTTAGAGCAAGTTAGCCACCTTCCTGCTGGCACTGTTTGTAACCATCCAGATGCTTATTAGAACAGGATGGGACCCTCAGAGCTAACAATCCCTTATCCATGCCCTCCTCACAGGCTTGTGCGCGCTGTCAATAAACAACGACAACTGCTACTTGGCCTATCCAGGCAGTGCCACCATTGGAGAGGTGCAAGTCTTCGATACCATTAATCTGGTAAGGCCCCTATGGTTCCTGAGGAGCTCCTTTCTAGACACATCATGGCAGCTTTGACATCTAATTTCCTGGCTCAGTGCCACAGCCTGCCCTGCCACTCTTAGTGGTCAAGCAGGTCTGGTCCACCTGTCACCACAGGAAACCAGGAAAGTGGCTTTGCTTGTCAGAGTCTTAAGGAGCTCTCCACGAGCCCTGCACAGGCAGTGTGTGCGTTTGGTGTGTGTACCGGCCACAATGGTTGTTCAGCCTCTGGCCGCACTCACCTGTTACTGATTTCCCTCTGCAGAGAGCTGCAAACATGATCCCGGCTCATGACAGTCCTTTAGCTGCGCTGGCTTTCGATGCAAGTGGGAGCAAACTAGCCACTGCTTCTGAGAAGGTAGGTCTGTAGGCCAGAGGCTGGTCATGGGAGCGTCGCCACTCACATGGCAGCAGAGGTGACATCTGCTCTCAGAACACCTGAGTGCTTACAGGGAGAAAGTGGTGTTTTGGTTTGGGCTCATGGTTTTAGAAGTCTTGGCCATGCCCAGCTGGCTCTGTCACTCTGGGCCCTGTGGCAAGGCAGAATTTCTAGGTAGGAATGGTGGAGCAGAACGAAGTCCTGCCCTCTCCTCTGGTATTCAGGAAGCAGGGAGAGAGGAAAGGGCTGGGGTCTCCTAAGGACACACCTCCCAGTGGCTTGGGAGGCCACCAGTTAGGCATCATTATCTTAGGAGGAGGAGGATTCTGCTCCAGCTGGTCAATACACTTAGTGCACCTGCCTTTTCTGTTTAACCAAGTTGAAAGTTCATCATGCTTTTTACTCACACCATTCTGTAAGTTACAAATACTGCTAAGGCTATGCATGTTGTGATTTACTCTGATGTGTCCTTCTGGGACTTCTTGTGTTGTCTCTGATACATTACACATATTTCCCATTAATTACTTGAGTTCTACTAACACAAATTTGTAGGTTAAAGGCAGGTGGCCCTGTGAGGCCTGGCAGTGCACACCAGCGATGCAGAGGTAGGGATGTTCCCCAAGTGCCGCTTAGCCTACATGGTGACCCCTTATGGAGCCCAGGCTGTGCCTGAACTATTCTTCTACCTCAGCTTCCCAAGTGCTAGGATTGCAGTCATCCCCACCATGTCTAGTTTGGGTTTTGTTTGTTTGTGTGATGAGGTCTTACTATGTTGCCCAGACTGGCCTTGAACTCCTGAACTCACAAGGTCCTTTTGCCTTTGTCTCTCAAGTAGCTGGATTGCAGGAGAAGGCCACCATGCCCCACTGCGTTTGGTCTTTTTTTTTTTTGGTCAGTCATGGGGCTTGAACTCTGGGCCTGGGCGCTGTCCCTCAGCTCTTCAGCTCAAGGCTAGTGCTCTACCACTTGAGCTACAGAGCCACTTCCGGTTTTCTGGTGGTTAATTGGAGATAAGAGTCTCACAGTCCTTCCTGCCTGGGCTGGCTTTGAACTGTGATCCTCAGATCTCAGCCTCCTGAGTAGCTAGGATTACAGACATGAGCCACCAGCGCCCGGCTTGCCTTTGGTCTTTTAAAGTGAATATACAACTAAGTTAGCAGTCAGACTGCTCAGTCAGACTGCTCAGATCTGTGTGGTGTGAGCTCCTGCAGAGTCCCTTACCAAGGCTGTGCTTGCTCACTGGGGCAGAACAGTGAGGTCCCATTCATACTCAGCAATGCAATAAGTAAATGCTTCACTGAGTCAATATAGTCCCAAACCAAACACATCGGGCACTTCCTAAAAGGTCAGCTTGGAAGGCCCTTCTGCGCAGGCTGATGACAAGTGCACATAGGTGTGTGGATCTTACATGGCTGGCTGATTTTTGTCTTACCCTTCAGTTCCACGTGTGCCAAGGTGTGGAGCAGTCACAGCTACCGCCCCCACTCCCTCGTTTACACCCAACAGAGGAGAAGTCATGGTGACCATCCCCACTAGAGCATGTGGCTAGTGTGGCTGTGAAAATCTGCACTGGGACATACAGTTGCTCGCTCTCTTCTCCAAGACACGGCTGGGATCTGAGTTTGGCAGCAGTGGGCACTGTATTCCAGACTGCTTCTTTGGTGGGAATCATATTGCAGCTGCCCATCCCCAGCCACCCTGTTGCCACTTCTGAGGCAGCAGTGTTCATGGCTGGTGTCTAGATGAGAGGGGTAGTCACACATGGCTCCTGCCAGCCCACGTGTCAACAGGGTTCAGCAGAACTGAGCCTGTGTCCACAGCTTTCCCATGACCCACAGCTCTCCTATGGTGGCCTCTCCAGCCTAACAAGCACCAGCCTGGTCTGTGTACTTTTACCAGCAGGGGACACCAAGTGACACCGGTGGGGTGGGCACTGTGGCAAGGCAGCTGAAGGGGGAGTGACAGTAGACATGGTCCTCTGCAGTTGAACAGTACAACCAGCCATGTCAACTCTTCAGCTGTCACTTCCTAACGCTTGTTGTGCCCTCACCTGGCCTATGGTCCTCGTCTGCTCCCCCCCAGAGCCACTCAGCCTTGGTTGGTCTTTGAGCTCCAACCCTGCTTGGCACTGCCCTCGGTTCCCTTCACTTGGTCTTGCCTGATGCTTTGATTTTGATAGATTTCCCACTGGAGTCCCAAAATAGCCTCCCTCCCTAAATCAACTCTGTCCTCAGACCAGTGTCTCATTGACTTTACATTCCGTACCTTATTTGACCCCTCTTCCCATTTTATAGTGGGGTTCGGCCCAGGGCTGCCAAAGGAATTGGATTCCCCAAATTTCGCTTTTTCACTTTAGTGTGTGTGTATGCACGTGTGCATGCACGCACGCATGTGTGCACGTGTGCTGGTACTAGAGCCTGAACTCAGGGCCTCACACACTTGCTCAGTGTTTTCACTTAAAGCTGGCATTCAGCTCTTTGAGCTGCAGTTCCACTTCTGGCTTTGGTGGTTAATTGGAGGTAAGAATCTCATGGACTTACTTGCCCAGGCTTGTTTCGAACCATGATTAGGTATGAGCCATCAGTGCCTGGCCTGGCCTGACGTTGCTTTTTTATGATGCTAGGCTACCCAAACACTACCTTCTTTTCTATAATTCTGTTATTAGTAATTAGTTTACCATTATTTAAAAATATGTATATATTAGCTCCTAGAAGGCCTAATTTCAAGGCCATTAAAAATGGAATCATTTGGGGACTGGGAAGGTGGCTCAGTGATAGAGTGTTTTTCTCTTACATGAGGCTCTGGGTTCAATCCCTCAGCACCACATAAACAGAAAAGGCTGGAAGTGGCGCTGTGGTTCAAGTGGTAGAGTGCTAGCCTTGAGTCAAAAGAAACTCAGGAACAGCTCCCATGCCAAGAATTCAAGCCCCACAACCGACCCCCCCAAAAAAATGGAATCATTTTTGGCCAGTAATGAAGAAATGTTTTATTTGCACTTAAACAGTTCTTTGTACATGGGATTGATGGTGACCTCCCACCCCACTGTGCTGAGTCTGCCCAGGCCTGCCTTCCAGGCATTGCGCCACTAGCATAAAATGACTCCCAGCTGCTGTGACCCAAGGGCAAGCTGTTAAGTTGTGTCCCTCTAGAATTAAGGCTGTACAGGTAACACTCTGCCTTGGTGTGTGCACATGCGTGTGCGTGTATGTATATATATAGAACTTTGCATCCTCTAATTCTTGAGGTACATGCTCATGGTGTCCTTACTCCTAGAGACGTGTATGAACTCCTGAAGCCATGTGGCCAATTCCAAACAACCTGTATTTGCAGTGTTTGTAAATCGGTAGATATTCTCCAAATGTGTTGGTCTGATGAGAACCTTGCAAATCTGTAGGCCTTGGACTCTTCCTGTGGCACACATTTAAGGCAATGGCCACTGCAAAGTCCCTGCTCAATCTTGTCAGCCTTTGTGCTCCACAGTGCCATCACTTAGTGCTGGCCTAATTGCCTCCCACTGACAGTCCCCTCGCATTCTTTCCTGGATTCTTGTCATCTTTGTCACCCTCTACTTCACCCATCCTCACTTCAGTTCCTGTGCACTACAGGAAGGGAGGAAGGCAAGGAAAGTCAGGTTAGAGGCATGGCCTAAGTGGCTATGCAAGCAGGCTGAGCAAGTATGAGGCCCTGAGTTCAAATCCCCCTGTACTAGGCGGGGAAAGAAAAGTTTTCTTGGGTGGTTACAGTAGCCACACCTATAATTCCTACCACTCAAGAGGAGGGGGTCTCAAGGATCACAATTGGAGGCCATCCTAGGCAAAGAGTTAGTGAGACCCCGTCTCAAACAACAAGCCAGTTGTGAACCTGTAGTGTTACTGCCCCAAAAAAAGAAAGTAAAAATTGTAATAGAAGTCATTTTGTACACTTGCACTTTGTTTTTGAGGCTGTGAGTGAGTTGTGGGATCAGGAGGTCCTCTGCAGTGCTTCCCATGGCAGCCCTGCTTCCCCTTGAGATGACCAAGGGCCCCTCGTCCCGTCCTACAGCAGGGCTCTGCGTGTAGACCCGCAGTGTACCAGAGCAGCTCTCCTTAGAAGGCTGGGTGGCAGGCAGCACAGGCTGTCCTGGCGGCCGGTGGCGGTATTCCCTCCCCAGAGCTGTCTCTGGAGGCCAACCCCAGGAGCCACCACCAGTCTGAAGGGACAGACAGGAAGTCCCCTTACCTGCCAAACGTGGCTCTTTGATTTTCCTTCTTTCTTCCCATCCCAGGGGACCGTGATTAGGGTATTTTCCATTCCAGAGGGACAGAAACTCTTTGAGTTCCGGAGAGGAGTAAAGAGGTAAAGTACAGACCCACAGCCCAAGTCCAGTCTCGGGTTACCTGTGACCCTGTCCCACGAGGCCCAGTGAGTCACCCCAACTTCCGGTCAGTTTTGTCATGCAGGGATTTCTCTGCAGGCAGACCAGTGTCCTGGTGCCTGACTCTGCCTCGACCCTGGCGCCAAAGGTAGAGAACTGGAGAGGCCCCTGTGACAGGCAGAGCCAGGTGGCAGCGGCCTGCCCAGTCTTGCCTGGCTAGCCCATGGTCTAGAGTGCTCTTCTGCCCAGTCTCCCCTCTGAGTCCACTTCCTGCCAGGAGCCTGTCCCCTTGCTTGGCTTGCTGAGTGTTCCACCTGTGCCCCTGCCCCATTGGGCCCTCCAGCAGCCAAACTGTCCAGTGTGCCTGTTTCCTCTTACATCCCTCCCCTCACCAGTGTCCAGGAGGCTTCTTGCAGCACCCTTGCCCTGAGCAGCCCACCCTCAGCTCACACCCCACCTGAACTTGTAACTGACTTCACTGTAGTAGTGGCTCTGCCCCCACATTGTGGGAACCTCCTCAGGGCCTCACGGCGATGCCTGGGCCTGGCCACTGGCTACACCCGGGGGTCTGCCTCAGGACCTCTCAACTTCTCCAGAACCTTCCACTGTTCTTTTCAGCATGCCTTTGCTTGGAACAAACTACATATCTGTGCATATACATTTCATGTCTGCATGCACGCATGCACACACACACAGACAAAGACACACACACACCATTGGCCCAGGAAAGCAGAGAGACCAGGCTGGCATGTGTAAATACTGAAAACACTGAACTCAATACACACACACTCCCCAGTGAAGGCAGAAGCCTTACTTATCCAGTGGCTTGGAGGTTTTGGTTGGTGAGCCTTGGGGCCTTAGTGGTTCAAGTTTGTCTATGGTGCGTCACTGAGGTAAGGCCATTGGTTCCCCTGTTTGCCCTCGCCACCCACCGTCAGCTCACCTCACTCATATTGCCCTGGTTCCTGGAGTTTCTGGGGTATCTCCAGCCTTGGCACGTCACCCAGGACATGGCACAGGGTAATGGGCAGGAGGGGGTCGCCAGCTCCTACCACAAGGCCAGCCCTCGTGCACCCTGTCCCCAGGTGTGTGAACATCTGCTCACTGGCCTTCAGCATGGACGGCATGTTCCTGTCTGCATCCAGCAACACGGAGACTGTGCACATCTTCAAACTGGAGACAGTAAAGGAGAAGTGAGTCGGGGCAGGGCCGCTCCACGTCTGTGCCAGCCTGTGCACTGGAGGGGGGGGAGGGTGGAAACGCCAGGTTTAGGTGAGACAGGGTCTTCCCAATGCTAGAGAATGAGACACACACTTCCTAGAAGGAGCAACTACCCTCACCTGGGGCAGCCTCTGTCCAGTGGCGGTGATCTGAACTCTGCTGCTTAGGTGTGTGTGGTGGGGGCTCCTGCTATCCAGAACATCCTCCCGGGGTCCATCTTGCTTATTCAGATATCTTGTTCAAAACAGTGTAAGAGAACTCAAATACTACACAGAGTAACCACCAAAATGGGCCTCAGGGAAGTCATTCAAAGTTTTAGGGGCTTCCAGCTTCGGTAGTCCAGCAGGAGCTTCTGAAGGTCACCTGTCACTGCAGAACCCCTGGGGGAGGTCCTGACTACTCCCTTCTGACCAGGTGGCGGGGAGTGGTTCTCAGTGACAACCTGCCCTGAGTTCGGGGTGCTTCCTCACAGGCCTCCGGAGGAGCCTACCACCTGGACCGGCTACTTTGGGAAGGTGCTCATGGCCTCCACCAGCTACCTGCCCTCCCAGGTGACAGAAATGTTCAACCAGGGCCGAGCCTTTGCCACCGTCCGCCTGCCATTCTGTGGCCACAAGAACATCTGCTCCTTGGCCACGTGAGTGGGGACAGGGCTTGCCACCGGGTGGCAGGGCTTGGAACCTTCCCAGACCTGAGCGCTGAGGCCCCTCTCCCTCCCCCCGTCTGTGGGTATTGATGAAGACCTGGGGGGGGGGCAGGCTGGGGGAGGGACAGGACACATGAGCCCCAGGCAGTGGCTGTGGCGCAGGGCAGCGGGAGTGCTCAGTAAAGATCTGTCACCTTCACCCTTCCATGACCCCTCAAATGTCATTTCCCTAGCTCAGCAGATTGGCACAGCAGAAGGTTCTGGGTGTGGGCAGCCATAGTGAAGTGGGGTTTGGGCCAGGCCTCCCAGGTGGCTCCCAGTCTGGCAGTGTCTGGCCTCTGTCTGGACTGGGCTCCTCCTGAGGTGCCTTCCCAGTCCTGCCACAGCTGACATCAAAACTACTAAGTATCTTTTCCAAAAGTCCAGAGTTTGTGTTTGCTTCTTGCTAGGATCCAGAAGATTCCCCGGCTACTGGTAGGGGCATCGGACGGCTACTTGTACATGTACAACCTGGACCCCCAGGAGGGCGGCGAGTGTGCGCTCATGCGCCAGCATAGGTGAGGCTTGCAGCACGCTGTGTCCCTTTCCCAGATGAGCCTCCACCCCCGCCTGCCAGCATGCAGCTTTCCTCACAGGAAACAGGATGCACATTGATTGGGAAGTGGTGGGATTCGATGCGACTGCAATACTAAAATGCTTCTGTGGGACTGTGACTGTGTCTTAGTGGTAGAGTGCTTGCCTAACATGCAAGAAGCTCTGGGTTTGATTCCTCAGTACCCATATACACAGAAAAGGCCAGAAGTGGCACTGTGGCTCACGTGGTATAATCTTGGGAAGTTTTAGTTTTGGTGGTTCTCAGTGTTTTTTGTTTTTTTTTTGTGTGTCCGGTTGTGGGGCCTGAACTCTGAGCTTGAGCACTGTCCCTCAGCT